CACAACGCCACCTATCGGGTCTTATTGTGAATCGAAACCATTCTTTAATCAACTTAATTACACACACAAAATCTCAATTAAAATCGGTCCAGCCGTTTCGGAGGAGTTCAGTCACATACACAGACAGAAGAATTATATATAATATGATATATATATAATATGCATGTATTATAAATATAAACTTTCCTCTTGAATCTCTATCTATTGTATATATTCTAGTCTATTGATAACCGGATCAAAATACGCTGCTTAGTTTAAAAGATCTAAGCGTACAGACGGCGGGAAGCAACTTTGTTTTATACTATGTAGAGAAAACTATATCTTCAACAACATGGCATTAATGAATTCAGCCTTCGGTTTGCTTTTTTAACTTCATTTTTATTGAATCTGTTTTGTTTCCTACTGCTACGGCTACCTGGCCTGGCTTCGCCTAGGTACGATCTATTAATGTGGTAATTAATGTTAGATTCAAGACAATCAAAGACCATTTGTTTTATAAATTTAATAATTCGTTTTTTTTAGGGTTCCGTACCTCAAAAGGTTAAAACGGAACCCTTACACAGACTTACCTTATACAGACGTTTATGCCGCAAATTTTTGATATTCACGAGGGAATCAAAACCTACAGGGTACTCTTCCCGTGAAGTCAGAATCTTAAAATTTGGTACGAAGCAACGTTTTATAGCACAGATAAAGGAAAAATTGCGAAAAGCATAAATTTTTACTTACATCATATAATAAAAATATTTTTAATAATTTTAAACTTATATACCTGCGGATTTGTTCAGAACCCTCGGTGCGCGAGTCTGATTCGCACTTGGCCGGGTTTTTTTTTAAATATTTTCGGATGAACTATATAGCCTAGATCACTCCATGCAATATTCTCTGTATGTTTGTGATGTTTTATTACCATCGTTTCAGTTATTCCGCAGTTAAGCCCGGACAGACAGACGAACAAAAATATCTGATTTTTTCTTTAAATTTGTCTACTCAATCTTCATATTGCAGATATCAAACAGCAATGTGGGAGTTCTATTTCGAAAAGATAATTCACTAGTTGAACTAGATTTCGTTGTTATCATCCTCGTCACGGTTTGTTATTTTAATACATTTATGACTTTCATATAATTACGTTGTCGTTTGTACTTATATTATATTCTGCAGTACTGACATGGCTATCTGCATGTTTTATAAAAAATAATTAAGCGTCTTTGTGCAACAGTTACAGACTTTTATTTTAATATATGTGTATCGAAATTTTTCGTTGGTAACACTCATTCTCATTGTTAGCATAACTAAAAGAACTGTCGTTATATTTTAAATAGCATTCTACCAGAGTTTAAATTATTGATTAATTTACCTAGTTAGTTTAATACTGTTTTTCCTATACGGGGTTATTTTGCAATAACCGGCCAAATTTGCAGAGATAGTTTAGAATAAGTAATATAGGCAAATGATGAAGAAATATTAAGTAAAAAATCTCAAACATTCTGTCCTCTTTATCTTTCTCTATTTATCTAAATTCAAAATGCGTGGTAATGCATTTTTTAACAGATTTTACTGCGCACGCAAACATACGATAGGGTCGATCGGTAGGCAAAAACAATGTTGGCCATAAATCACATTCAACTTTGTATAATTTAAAATAAAAGTAGAAACTTTATTTACTCTTATTTTCATAAACTGCAATAACGGTATATCATTATTTATATATTTGAACTTAAGCTAAATTTTTATTAAGAACCTTATCTTGTGGTAGAGCCACATCAGCTTATTATAGCTGCAGCAAGAATGAGTCGGCTCGACTAGAGAAAAACTGCGCACACGAAGAATATTATCAATAAATACAGCATAGTTTTGCTGCATTTTTGTATACCTTCAATCTCAGGGGTAATAATGCTCCCGGATCTGGATGCATCTATTTATCTTTAGGTGGAGTGTGTGTTCGTTCGTCATTCTTATTCCTATTTAAAAAAATCTCAAGACGATTAAAGTCTATTAACCCTTTATTTCATTACTAGCTGTTCCCCGCGATTTTGTCTGCGTTTAAATTATTTCGATTTGATTTCATGGGTTTTAATTTTTTTGTAAATAAAAATCCTTAATTCTTTTTAACAATAAAAGTAACCTAAGTTATTCCTTATAACGTCAGAAAGTCCCGTCTAAATAGGTCCAGCTATTTCGGAAGTTACCCGGAACAAAGAGACAGACAAAAAATGATTTTTTTGTTGTTGTTGCAAGTTCCGTATATAATTTGATACGCATTTATTAAAAGCTATTTTGACATTACAAACCAACACTTCAATTTCATTTATTTGTATATAGATAGTAAAACATTAGGTCAGACGTAAGATAACCTTTAGGAGGGAATGGATGAACTTTTTCACATTTATAATACACTGAACGCTCCATATCGAGCAGATAACTATGTGACGCTTTCGTAATACTTTGAAATTTAGGACAGAATATTCTAAAATTATTTGATTTAGTTATATATTTCATTGCGACCCCCTACTAGATGGAGTGACGACCTCGTAGGATATGCAGGAAGTCGATGGATGCAGGTGGCTCAAGACAGTGCTTTGTGGCATTCCTTGGGGGAGGCCTATGTACAGCAGTGAACTTGTGAAGGGCTGTAATGATGATGAAGACGATATATTTCATTTGTCTGAGATCGGGTATGGCAAACCATGGCAACCATATAGTTCACATACCTTAGGTAGTACCACAGAATAAATATGGTAGTACGTAAAAAGAAATTATAGAGTTAGCTAAATATACAAATTGTAAAGTGCAAAATTGAAACTTTTACTCAATACTTAGTTTTTTTTTCTATTTTGCCATTATTGTTTACTGTTTATTTGCGGCAACACAATTTTGTTTTTTTTAAGAAAGTTAACATGCAAATGTGAAAAGGTCAGTCATACCTTAGATGAATTTATTTCCATCTCTAAGAATAATATCGTAAAGTAATTTAGTGTACTCCGACAAAAAATTATAATATTAATAAATTTATTAACAACTTAACATGGCTGTAGAGTGCGGTGTAATATATACCACCACCCCATTTCATCCATAGGAAATGTGTGAAAAATCTCATGACTTCTGATATAATCACCGAAACAGCCAAACCAGCAACGAGATGCGAGAGATCTGCTAGTGCAATAACCAATTCGCCTGTTAAATTGCCGATTGTGGGAGGAGGCCCATGACTATCTGTGTACTTTTCTGTGTATGTAACTTATCTGTTTACATTTTTTTGTTTCACAAAAAAGGCAAGGTAAGAGGTTATTTAAGGACGCTACACACGATTTCTTGAAACCCAAGTTAAAAGAGCGACTATTAATACTAAATGATAAAATGTTTAATGATTTTTATTTAATTAATTTATTTATTAAGTCTTTATCGTACATCCAAATATAGAATACGAATAGATGAACAAATATATATGACGAACAGACGGCCTTATCACTCTGTAAGTGATCTCTCAAGACACCCTTGGGTAGAGAACTGATACAAACAAAGATTACTGTAGAGGGGTGTACGAAAAAATGTATATAGCTTTTAGTGTTTTAAGACTTAGAACACTAATATATAATATAATAAAGTCTTGTCAAAACTTTCTTTTTTAAGTCTTTTGAAAGTGGTAAGAGATTTAGCACGATGGATGTGAAGTGGTGAAAAACCTACAAGCGCACAGCAGTGACACTAAAGGATTTTAATCTTTCACTACAAAAAAAAAACACACTCGCATATACGAGCGTGATAACTGAAAGTTGATAACATTATGTTGAAACCATTTATTTACTAGTGAACTGTTATTGCATAATTGAACTAATTTTGTTATGCGGGCAATAAGAGAGCATAGTTGTTTATTTCCCTATAGAAAGTACGAGTTGTTTCAGTTCATTAAATACAACAATAATAAATATATACCTAAGTTATTTGAAATTGTAGTAACATGTGATTTTATAAAACAAGTACAGAGAAGCAGTTTATGTGGCTGATTTAAAAAAAAATTACTCAAAAGAAATTAACACAATAACAATATTTCAAGCATATAATGTCAAGTCATCTAACAAGCATTATGACCTGTTCTCACTAACAGAAACTGGCGCTTACAAACTAGTCTTGGCTTATCAAGCCGGCAGTCATTCAGTCAACATATCATTGGGGACCTGGGACCAACTTTTAATCAGAAAGGCGTTGTTATCAGGAAATACTAAGATAGAAAGTCTCGCCAAAGATACTTATTCAGACAAGCTTCTAGGCAGGAAAAAAGTCTTACCGTATAGTAAGTAACATATGACAACTAGAATTTGAATTTATCAAAATACTAGCTGAGCTCCGCGACTTCGCCAGCGTGGAATTTATTACGATTTCATGGATATCAATTTTTTTGCGCCGAACCCTAATTGTGCTTTTTGAGTAATGTTACCATCTTATAAATATTGACAAATATTGACATTATTATTTATACGATACTAACGTCACTCAATTGTTTTTTCTTCCCGGATCCCCTCCACTAACACTTAAACTTTATGGTATGGTATTAAAGTTCAAATTGACTTTTAAGTATTATTACGAATCTAGTAATCACTAGATAGTGATTACTAGATTCAAATTGCTCAAAGAGGGGAGGGTCAAGAGTACTCGGATACCTAGACGTGCATGTATGAAGAAGATAATGAATCTGAAAGAAGCGAAAGAGGTATGTAAGGATCGTGACACTTGGCGATCTGTTCTCTCTGGCTACCCCGTCAGGGATTGTGCGTGAAGATAAGTATTACGAATCTTTTGTATGGGAATATAAAAAAAAGTTGTTTTTAGACTTTTTCAGGCAATTTTTTAAATTTTTCTCTCCGTAAGAACCATCTTCGTACTTCAAGGAATATTATAAAAAAAGAATTACCGAAATCGGTTCAGCTGCTCTCGAGATTTGCGCTTAGCAACACATTCAGAGATTCATTTTTGTATTATCATATTTTCATTCCATTTACCTGTGCTTGCTTGAGCCTATGTTCGGTTCGGTGGACGGCCAGCAGCGGTGTGACGCGGACGAGAAGCCGCCACCAGGGCCAATCGCGCACTGCCAGGAAGGCTCGTACATTTCGTTGCACACATCTGCGAGTAGAAATATTTTTTTATAAGTCTTCTAAACTTTGTACGGAATAAACTCGGAAGTTGAAATCTCAAAAGTAAAGATAACTCAAAATTTTTAACTCTTACTTTTGATCATGCGGCACAGTCACTTTAATGAGTTCCTAACTGTAAAGTTCCACATCATCATTATCATCATTACAGCCCTTCACAAGGCCAATAAGTAACAACATCTTAAAATTAAGTAGCATTTGAGTAAAAGTGACTGTGACACCACGAGATTTAACGACATCTTAAAATTGAGTTGCGTTTTAATATTTGGCCATTAGGGATTTAAATGGTATGACAAAAAATAATTGATAGCATGTAATCATACACTAGACAATAGTGGAATACAATAATGGCGGCACTGTAGTTTTACAGCACTAGGTAGGCACTCCTTTACTGCATTGGAGTCTGTCTGGATGGACTATGTTTCGAAATCAATTATTGAGTTATTCCGTCAAGAAATTCACAGTAGCTACCCGGAGTCAGGAAGTGCGGCAGATGGTGTCTCACACTCGTGCCTTGGAGAGCACTTAAAGCCGTTGGGCCTGCGCCTGATCTCTCTCCGATCGTGTCGGTTTGACGTCCCATCGGATTATGAGAACGAGGGACCTATGTCTGCGCTTACAATTAATCCTGTCCTGCGCCGATGGCTAGTCTCCATTGAGATTGGTCGCCGTGACCGAAATTTGGTCTGGAGGACATTATTATTATTATTTACTTTGTTGCGGTTTGAAGGGTATAGATATAGAGTCAGTGTAATTACGAGCTATTAGGTGTTACATCTTAGAAGTGACAACGCATCCGTAGCTTTGTTTGTTTGAAGTTAGTTTTATTGCAAATGTCCATGGGCTGTAGTAGCCACTTTAAGCGTCAGTAGGCTAATGGCAGGGCGCGGACCGCGAACTCGATAGATCGTGGGTTCGAATCCGCCATTCGACTACTGTCGTGAACCACAGAGTTCAGAGTTGGTGGTGCAGTTATGATAATATAGATAATAATGCCCTCCAGCCCGAATTTCGATCACGGCGTCGAGCCTTAACGGAGACTAGCCATCGGCGCAGGACAGGATTATAGTGCCCAAATGTATGCGCAAGCACAGGTGCACTCTCTATTCCCTCACTCTCATCGTCCGATGGCACAGTAAAACGACACCACCGGAGAGCAGGATCATGCGCAGGACCAACGGCTTTACTTCCTTTCCGAGGCACGGGGGTGAGACACCGCCAAATTCCTGACTCCGGGTAGCCACTGAGAATTACTTAAAGGAAAAAACTCAATAACAGATTTTTTTGGCCCGACCCGGGATTCAACCCCGACACCTCATGCTCAGCAGTCGCGTTTACAACCACTAGATCAACGAAGCAGTCAATGTGCAGTTATACACAACTTTCATTTGAGCCAAGGGCTATATTATGAAATGTATATATTAAACTTTTTTTACAATTTTTGTATATTAAATAGATATGAAACTTTATGATCATCTCTTTATAGGCGAATATAATTGAAATTTGCAAAGGCAGATAATCGCGACGTTATCTGTATGATGACCGGGGAAATAAACTTTTACGTGCTCTATCTGCTACATACCGATGCAGTGAATCTCACTCGCAGGTCACGTAACCTACCTAGCAGAGGTTCGTTTCGCCGGTATATTAAAAACTTTCTTGAAAAGTACAAACTTACAAAAGTATTTTTTTTGCGTTATTTTAGTTTTACATGTTCATCTTCCCTTTCATCAGTCCGGAAAAGTCCTCGTTCAATGTTTATATCAATTAGTTTTATTGAATAGTTAGAAATAGTTTACCCATAATATTTGGCTAAAATAGTTTGTGTAAACTGGTATCTTTGTGTATGTAGACGACGTTTGTGGAGAGATATCTATTGAATCTTTTTTTTTATAGGATAAGGGTAAAAGGAGCACACCTGATGGTAAGTGTGGCCGTTTCCAGCAAAACGGGTCTCCGGTTCTCCAGACTCACCTTACGAAATACAGCAGCGTTAACTTGCTATTTTACGCTGGTATTCTGTGAGAGCGTGGTCCTTCCCCGGTCGAGCCGTGCTACAATTATACTACTAATATAGCTGCAGCATATCACGTATACCTCGAATATCTATTGAATCAAAAGGCTTAAATATTATATCGTAGTAATCAGGATCAAATATCTGATCGAAGGTCATGCCGTTTGTATTTCTTATTTAATTAAGTCTATGGCGTAATCAGCTTTAGGAAAACCGAGCTTCTTAAATAAAATCTTAGGTCATCACAGGTCCACTTGGCTGGGAAGTAGGTACTACTGTCACAAATGTGATGATACTAAAATATGTGCCAAAAGGCGACTATGGTTTTGTTGGAACTGCTTATCTTGAAGCAGCACAAAGCGAAAGCAAGAAGGAACCCAAACGTAGAATTAGCGACTGGTCTCTCGGTGTTCTATCGGGTAAATTTTGGAAAGTATACGCAGGAATCAAACGATTTCATTACCCTATCCTCTATAAATCATAGAAAAATGAGAAACACGGCAGGCTTCTATCCCTTCATTGTAAATTCGGACGTAGGGTCAAACACCATTTAAACTCACCGGGCCGCAGTATGCTGAGTGCGCAGACGCTGAGCACGGCGGCGAGCGAGCAGCCCCCGAGCTCTGGCCTGCAGCCGCACCAACACACGTGCGAGAGCGGCGTCGCGGCGTGCGTCCAGCCCGCCCACCACGCCGCCGCGGAACATAATCTGCGACAAACAACATAAAATGAGTATAATCATAATATGAAAAAATGTAAATGATACCTATACAAAGATATATTTATAAAAAAGTTACAGCTTTCATTGTATATTTATAAAAAATGATAATATTCTTTATTGTAGACCATGTAGTCCATAATTTTTATAGATACAAAAAAGGTTTTAAGATCTATATCCGTAAAAGTAGGTAATTAATTCATCATTATCATCATCATTATAGCCGTAAATAAGTCTACTGCTGATATGGCCTCCTCCAAGGAATGCCACAAAGCACAGTCCTGAGCCACCTGCATCCATTGACTTCCTGCATGTCTTACCAGGTCGTCACTCCATCTAGGGGGAGGGGGGCTACACTGCACTGGATACATGGACATGCACATTTAACCAGTGCCTCAAAAACCACACACGGGTTTATCGCTAAATACGTTGGGAATGTTGTTGGCGCTCCATTGAACCACGTGCATCAGTGGCACAGTTCTTTTGTGAATAAGAGTGGAAAAATTATCAAGCTGGGGGTCAACAAACATACCTAATGCACTACAGTAACGTGGGAACCCCAATATTTCATTATTAGTGCTATAAAATTCAGAAAATTAGATAAATAGATAGATAATATGTATATCGTATGTTGAGTTATGTATGAGCCATGTTGTAGCTAAATTATAATTGTAACACGAATGGGTTGGCTCGACAGGGGGAGGACCACACCTTTCCAGAACACCTGCGTTTAATAGCAGCTCAATGCAGCTGTGTTTCGTATGGTGAGTTTAGGGAACCGGAGACCTCTTTTACTTGAAACGAGGCATTTAATCTCAGTCTTCGGTAGTAACAACATCCACTTACTATCAAGTGGACTGTGTGCTCGTTTGTCAACTTTATTCTATTAATTAATAAAATAAACAAATAGTTTTACAAAAGAATTACAGGACAGACATTTTATTAGTTCCGAGTTAAAACCCAGAAGTAAACTTCTGAACGTCGTTATTGTCACTGCCTACTCGTAAATCTATTCCTAAAAGATACTACTACCTACTAACTTTAGAAAGGTATTAGGTGTACGCAATGTATGAAGAATTAATAATAAAAACGAAATAAGTAGTTACTAGGAGCAGAAATGCGAATCATGTTCTCACTACTGAAACTAATACTGATCAATTATAATGTAAGTGTTGATTTACACAGTTTAAAGCCGACACGGTTAGGATACTTTCATGCCTGAGTAATAAATCTCGAACATTACTATATTAATATAACAATGCTATTATAGTTGGATAGTTAACTTACTAGAACAGTACATAATATCGCAGTATTGAAATAACCTATTAATAACACTGATAATATACTTTTTATAAAATTTTTGAAGAATCGGTAAATTACAGACATGCAGAACTGGTGGTTTATAGTTTGAAAACAAGTATAAATAACAATAAGCTGATTTATTTCTTTATATTTTATTTTACTAAGAACAAAGATACTCTTTAGAACAATAACAAAGTAAACGTACTACACATGAAAATAAGAAACATAATGAAAACAAATAAATGCCGCAATTCATACTGCGCCGGCCTACTTTACATCGGTATAGTGTGCCTGTCCCTGTCCATTGTGAAGTTAGCTCTCGCTCATAGATTTGTCCTACTTTGGGACGGTAAACATAATGACACGTGATGCACGGCTACCAATGAGATGATTATGTTACAAGGGACTACCGTATGTGGGTTGACCAATTTACTAGCAACTATTGATTCCGAATATATATATATATATATATATATATATAATTTCAACGTAGAATAATATTAACCCCATTTTTGCGGTGAAGGAAAACGTTAAGAGGAAATGTGAATATCTGAGGAATCTATAAAAATAAATAAAATTGAAGTGTCTGTTTGTAATGTAAAAATTACAGTTTTTTACTAAATGCATATGAAAGTAAATAAGGTACTTATAACTTATATACACTTTTTAAAATTTTTATCTGTCTCTGTCTGTCTGTCTGTCTGTCTAATCTCCGAAACGGCTGGACCGATTTTGACGGGACTTTCACTGGCAGATAGCTTATTTCATACGGAGTGACTTAGGCTACTTTTATTTTAGAAAAATAATTAGGGTTCCGCACAAAAACATATAAACCCTAACACGCGAACGAAGTCACGGGGAACAGCTAGTTATAAATATAATATTTGGAAGACAACATCACTCCAGCAACTCGCACTTGAGCAGTGCGGCGGACTAATTACGCCATTACCCTCTCAGAGATTAGAGACTTGTGGCCAGCTGTGGGACGTTTAAAGTAATGCTAACTTTACTATCGTAAGAATAACTTTACCTTGTGGTGTCGGCGTAGGAGAATCCGTCACTCCTTTTTGTTCCACGAGTGTTGTAAGAGGCCACTATGTGATACGTCAAAGACTTCCCATCTAATGACAAGTGATACGTATTTACTGGTGTAATTCACTCTATAACTATGGTATATTAATGGTGAATATGGAGTAATAGAAAACAAATATTATTATTTATTTTCGAGATAATAATAGTCACTCGTATCGAAATTCTTATTCAATAGCTAAAAATCTAAACAAAACAGTCGAAATGTGACCACACGTTAATTAAATTACGAATACATAGTTTTATAGATAAACTAGCTGGTCCCCGCGATTGCGTCCGTGTCGAATTTATTACGATTGGATTTCATGGGTTTTAATTTTTTAGCGCGGAACCCTAATTATTTTTCTAAAATAAAAATATCCTAAGTTACTCCTTATAACTTTAGCTATCTGCCAGTGAAAGTCCCGTCAAAATCGGTCCAGCCGTTTCGGAGATTAGCCGGAACAAACAGACATACAAAAATCTTTAAAAATCGTTTTTTTTTTTGTTACTAGTACATATGCATTTAGTAAAAAGCTGTTATTTTGACATTACAAACAGACACTTCAATTTTATTTATTTATATAGAATTATAAACAAAATAGAAGAGATATTTAATTATTAAGCCAAGAATTGTAACAAACCCTCGTTACAATGGCAGGTACGAGTATCGGTGCCCAGCAGGGAATTACAAGGGTTGATAAAAAGATTATTTTTCTTTTTTCTACAATTCTTTGTTTGTAAATAAATTGTCAAACAAAGAAATAAAAAAGAAATGTATGTAAATACAACGCACGCATATTTTTGAGACTATATTATTTTAACTAGCTCTTTATTCATAAAACAAAACACATTCAAACTGTCGATCGTAATAAAACTGCCGATAAGCTAATTGAACTCGCTTGACCTTAAAACATGTCATGTCGGTAGGGTTAGCACGTTATTGATATTATTCGCCGCCTAATATATCCACTGCTAGACATGGGCATACACAAGGAGAATTATTTCTATATCAACACTTCTGACCAATAGTTTGGCGTAGAGATTCCAGATACCCTTAGACGAACCTTTCTCATCTGTCTGGGTATTTTTTATTAAACATTTTTTTTTATGGAATAAGGGTGACAAACGGGCACACAGTCCGTGTAGAGTGAGTGTAGAGAAACGGAGACCCTTTTTACTGGAACCGAGGCATTCCATCTTAGTCCTCACGGGTGACAACGCATCTGCTTTTTGATTCGTAATCGAGAATAAATGTAGATGTCTATGGGCCACAGCAACCATTTACCATCAGGTGGACTGTGTGCTCGTTTGTCACCCTTATCCTATAAAAAGAAAATTATCAGTCGTGCAGTGGTAGCATAAGAGAATCCACCATATGATCCGCGGATGTCGTAAGAGGCGACTAAGGGATATATTAGAAAAATTGTATGGTTTCTGATAGAGGGCGGTACAACCATCTTGTGTACACCAGGCGCAATAACCCCGAACCGACCGAATTAAAAGTGTGAAATTTAGGATTTCGGATTGATGATGAACAGGAACTGTTTTAATACTAATCGTCAATTCGCATGCCAAGCGTTACGATTAACTCCCTTCAACAGGAGAGGTCCATGTTTAGCAGTGGACTTTTACGGGTTGATGAACAAGATTCGAATTCTTTTTTAAAATATAAGAAAGACAATATAATATACAAAATATTGTATTTCACAGTAGCGTAAACTTGCTGTCAATCCTAAATGCATCTGTGTAACAGCAAACTGCATCTGCAATTATATACTCGTTGTGATGCAACTAGAGCGCACCGCTTCTTGCAGAGGCTGTTTGTTTGGCGAGGCACGTCCGTCGATTGTTCTGAACGTTGTCTTGTTATACAATACAAGTACAGTACTTGTAACTACTGAAACGTGGATTCAACATCAACGTGAACTCATACAAAACATTTATTACAATAATTGTCAAGAATTATAATTTTGCATCATAATTTATTTGCAATTTGTGTAGAGAACCGGATAACCCTTTTAATGGAAACGAGGCATTCCATCTCTTATTCCTCAAGGGTGACACTCATCTGCATTTTGGATAGATATAAATGTTTTTGGGACACAGCATTAATTAATCATTAGGTTAAGTGTGCTCGTTTGTCACCCTCATTCTATATAAAAATTTACATATTGGCTTTGTACAATTTACAACAATACAATAATAACAATAACTTCGTATACAAGTTTCTATTTTTATCAGAAAATAGGATTATTTGACCACTTAAAAGTCCTGTGGTAACTTGTGGTAACTGTGGTGGAACTCGATGTAAATTTTACTGCACGCGAGCAACCCGAATTCGATTCCCGTTGGCACCAATTAAATTGTTAATTGCAGTTTTCAAATACAGACTGACAGAAAAATATAGACGTAAAATAACAGAATTAAAACGGTTATGAAATCTACAAAAAAAAATTAATAAAATGTATAGTTTCATAAATCTCGCCCGGTGGTAATCTAGAGATACATATTATATCTAATTTTAATTCTTTAAGTGTTAACATATATTAAGTAGCGCTATAAAAATTTACAGTGGTTATGTAAGCGAGTCCCACAATGTTGAAATATAATTCTCGAAT